GGCACAACATGGACAAAAATCATAAATCATGCTTCGCTCTGGGTTGGATCTTGTTCTACTAAATGCAGCAGCACTTTGTTTATACTCAGTTTCAGTTGCACTTCCTGCCTGTTTGAGCAAATAAATGAAGCTTTAAGAAGTTTTATTTCTGGAATGTATTTATTATCATTGTCATTAAATTGAAGCTGGACAGATGACTTGATTATGACTTGACAATTCGAAGTTAAGGACTTGGACTTGACTTGGGCTTCCACATCATTGACTTTGGACTCAACTTGGACTTGGTTGTCTTTGATTTGGACTTGACTCGAGACTTGACTGGAAAGACTTGTGACCTACTTGTGACAAGCAGTGACTTGGTCACACCTCTGGTTCCCACTATAGATTTCTGCTATTTTCTATGACACTACTGTTTGGATAATCTAAGCAAATGTTGACTCACTGGGATGAGTTTAATTACAGTTACTGATCACTTGGTGGCAATCATCATCATCTTCATCATCATCATCATCATCATCAGTAACTTTATTTATACAGCTCTTTGCATTAAGCAGAGGTGTGAGGAAGTGACAGGTGAGCAGTAGGACTGAGGACTACCAGGTCTGTGAGCTGAATAAATAAGTATCTCTATCATCACTTGGGGCTGATTTCAGGTGATTAACAGGCTTCTGCAGAGCCTGATGAGCTGCTGCACAGGTGATTCAACCACTGAGTCTAGTGTTTTGGACTAGAGAAACCACTAAAACATGCTGGATACCGGCACACAGGGCCCAGAATTGAATAGCCATGGTCTAAACTGATAGTGTTGGCTCACTGACCTCTTTGATGGATCACCTGCTATGGGACAGCTTCTGGAATTATCACACACATAAAACATGGATTCCCGCTTTAGCTGGCTAAGTATTTTGTTTTTATGCAAGTTTAAGCAAGGTGAATCGAGTTGATGAACCAGGTGAAGAAGCCAGACAAATGTGTAACTACATGGGACGTTGTCTTGAACAAAATACAACTCAGATTATCCTTTTAGGCTTTATTGACTTCACTACTAAACAGCAGAAGTGGATTGACATAAATCATTTCTATACTGTATAAATTTGACATAAAGCTTTAATGACAACATTAGATTTGCCCCAATCACATCAAGTTTTCCTAGATGACTAAGAGGGAAAACATCCAGAACAGGGCCTGTCGTCATCCACAAGTAGTGTAATTTATTTGTCTTCAGCTGACTATCACACTTCCTGTAATATGTACTGAAGTGAACAAAGGTCTTTGTTAGTGCGCAAATCCCACATCTTTCTGTGAGGTCAAAAGCAACACTCTTCATGTTTAAAAGCTCTCTTCAAAAGAAACAATTGTTTGCCTTTGCTTTTCCCTGTCTAGCCACAAAATAGTTCTCAATTGTGCGAGTGTCTGCTGAAACTGTAGTATTTATCCCTGCTTGAGTCACACTGTCAGGTAATTCCAGTAGCCAGACTATCTGTCCTTGTGAAGGAAGCAAGGCTCCAGCTATAAAACCAAGGTGTACTGTTTAATTATTCAAAAGGAATGCCACTTAAAGTCTCAGCCAACCTCTTCCAAAGATTGTTAATTAATTCATCAGTGAAATGGGAGGTTTGTCACTTTTCTAATACAGATACTTTTTAATGAAACGTTAATAGCCCATTTATCCTAGTTCTAAAGGGTTTGCATGGTAGCACAGTTGGTTACACAGCAAGAAGGTTGCCTGAATGCTTGGGTTAACTTTGGGCACTCCAGCTTCCTCCCACAGACGGAAGCACATCCTGTTGAGACTCTAAATCAAGGGTGCCCAATCCTGGTGCTGGAGGGCCAGTATCCAGCATGTTTTTGTTGTTTTCCTGCCCCAAAACACTTGATTCAATGGTTTAATCACCTGTTGGGCAGCTCCTCAGACCCTGCAGAAGCCTTGATTGAAATCAGGTGTGTTAATGCAGGGAACCAACTAAAACATGCTGGATATCAGCCCTCCAGGACCAGGAGTTGGCACTAAATGTTCTAAATTATCCGTAGGTGCAAGTAGATGTGACTGTATTATTATTATTATTTTTTGTCTCTGCGTGTCCTTATCTGGCAACCTGTTCAGGGTTGCTTGATGACTGCTGGAGACAGACTCTAGCTTCCCATGATTTCAGTGAGGAAAGTGGAGTTCAGATAACGGAAAGATGGAGTCTCTGCATCGTTTTTTGGACAGAATGGTAGAAATGAACAGGGTCAAACAGAAGTTGCTCTTTCCAAACACAGACAAAATCAAGACATTGTTTACTGCTCAAAGTTATTACCATGTTATTACCAAGACAGAAGAACAGAAGATTAACATTTACATTTGTGCTGTTTGTGCTGTCATGTCTAAATTACTCTTGGGAGTGTGTGTGTGTGTGTGTGGTGTGGTCTGTCTGTGTGTCTCTGTTTGTTGCCTTGTGATGGACCAGCCCTCATGACCACGAATAGGACAAAGCAGGTACATACACTAATAACCAATACTTAGTAGGCCTGCTTTACTATGCCTGACAAGCTAGAATATGGACAAATAACATTTTGGGGAGGTGTGTGTCATGGAGACTATGACAATGATTGAGTTAGTGCAAAAGATGTATATGCAGTAACATCGAAGCACCAGGCAGCTGTGTCGCATGCTTTTCGCTGCAGGTAGGATCTCATCTTAACCGTTTCAGGTTATTTGATGACATTTGATGATCTATGATAGCAGTGTTATTCAGGTCCTTCTGAGCCATCTTTCAACAGAGCGAGTTACATTCATACTTCTTAGGAAGGTTTAATTTTCTTGTACTTGGAGAAAACCTGGTGGGGGAAGCTGGGATTGAACCACCAACCCTCAGTCCAGTCTTTATTCACATATTTTTAATAAACATATGTTGATTCCTGGTGATTTCATTATTACAGTCTATAGATGTAGATATATTTCAGATTCCCACTGAGTGTGTTCAGCATATCAGGGCACTCCCCTCCATCGTCTAATGGTGTAAGTGGCAGCTCACCACCCAGTGGGAGGAGATTTCAGCTTAAGGCGATTTGGAAAAGATTGTGTGTGGCTAATCTGCTCTGATTCATAGTCTGTTACAACGGGGACTATATGGTTTCCTTTCTTCCCTTTTTCCCAAAATCTGAAACTCTCAGTCTTAACACTAATTTATGAAGACAGAGATACTTCTCTGTGCTTTGATAATCCCTTTGATGTTAGACTGCATTGATGAGTCTGTTTAAGAGGTTTAGTGTTTTGGGCTTGGACTCAGAGGGTTTTTTCCAAGAAAACACAAAGCTGTGTTCTGATCCAGCTGGCTGGGCAGTGTGCATGGGCTCAGAAGGGTTTGGCTCTGGTTTGGATGCTGAGGCTGGCATGGGGCTGGGCCTTACACCGGCAAGTGCTTTCAACCGCTGTGCCAGGAAGTCACACTTTGCGTCGTGTGCCCACCGACAGGGATCGCTCCAACTCTCATGGAGCACTAAATGAGCTGCTCTTCTTCTTTTTGTACAAAAAAAGATACACAATCTGTCTTTGTGTGAGGGGATGGAAAATTTGAGTTAAGTGAACACAATAGAACTCTTTACTGTAATCGGGTTATCCAGAGTTGAGGAGGCTGTTCGGGATGATGAACTCCAAACTACGTTTGGCACAGAAACGTTGAGACTCTCAGTTTAATTCTTCTGTTTACTCTTTGCAATTTGATCTTAAATGTATTTGGCAATGTTCACCAGAGAAAAGATTTGCTACATTTATGTCCAAAAGAAAATTGCATATTTTTCTAAATCTTAATTTGTGGAGAAACTGAAAATAGTCCAAAGATTTTCCTGTTCTACACATTTGCTAAACTGCTCTACCTGTGTAATGGCCACCTAAATTTCTATACTGCTGTGCATTTCTGCAGAGATGGACAACTTATTACCTTAACATTTGCTGAATCATTCTTAATTTATGTAAAACCTAAATGCCTGCCACTAGGATTTTCAGTTTTAGGTGAAAATGGTGCAGAAAACATTTTTTTCCCTCCATACTCTTTCGACCTTTCCTTTAACTTTACTCTAATGAAAAAAATAAAAATAAAACAAACCTGTTCACGCTTATGGTCTGTCTCTGTTATCCATTTTTAACTTAACTCTGTCATGGTGAAGGAATCTATCACCCAGCCAGCTCAACACGTGCGGCTCAGCTGAACCAAGTCAGTCGGCTGAAGGTAGAGGCTTGTCATTCTGGCTGTGTGGGACGGCATTCGTCTCAGTGCAACAACTGTTTCGGCATGGCCCTACATACCTTCGATTTCTTCTTTAATGCATTTTTTTGTACAAATACATCATGGTCACAGCAGTGTTTGATGATTTATATGTACTGCAGAATGCACACTGAATCTGTCAGTGAAGTGTTAAACCATGATCAAGGTCTTGCAGAATGCCTAATTGAAAACATTTTAGTTTTCAAGCAATGTCCCAACTCGTCTTGTCTCTAATTCTTTTCTACATATTCCAGTGATGCTTCAATTTATGGCAGATTTCTGCATGCTTTATCACATAGACACAAATAGAGTAACTGGATTGTTGGACATATGGAACATGTTTGCCATAGCATAAACACATTTAAAATTTAAATGTTACCATTATCTGTTGCAGGGTTATTCAATTCCGTGCCTCAAGGGCCGGTATTCAGCACGTTTTGGTTTTAACCCTGCTTCAACACACCTGATTACAATCAGCGGGTGATTAACAGGCTTCTCCAGAGCCTGGTGAGCTGCTGCACAGGTGGTTCACCCACTGAATCAAGTGTGTTGGACTAGAGAAACCACTAAAACGTGCTGGATCCTGGCTCTTGAGGCACAGAATTGAATAGCCCTGATTTGTTGGAACTGGGGATTCAATCACACACAATTATTTGATTTAAAATTTAAAGCTGGGATTTTGAAGTGTACTGATGATTTGCCAAACAAATGGACAATGAAAAGTAATTTGATGCATGTTCTTTGTCTAAACAGAGACCTATAAGAGGCCAGTCTCTTTTGACGGCAGAGGGAATATGGGAGAGGAGCTGGACTCTCTCAGAGCCACAATAAATGACCAACACATAAATGAGAATAACTCCAGCAAGAATCGCAACACAGCCCCACGACGACACAAGCGCTTCCTCTCCTATCCTCGCTACGTTGAGCTGATGGTGACAGCGGACTCCAAAATGGTTCATCACCATGGACGTAACTTGGAGCACTACATCTTAACAATCATGTCAGTAGTAAGTAAAATAAAGTTTCTAAAACTAATTATATCTTTAGGTTTTATTGTTTTTTTTTTGTTATTGTTTTACCTTGTTTTTGTGTTATAACTGTAGCAATAATAGTTTAGAGTTTATTAAACAATTTTGTAATGGCTAACTTTGACAAAACATAATAAACAAACTGCTGGTCAGATCCTTCAGGTATTAGCATAGCTGTGCAAACCACTGGCTAATTAACCAACAGTGTAATGCCTAATTTATACTTCCGCCATTGCGCCCTCAACACCATAAAGAGAGCCGAGGATATCTAGCAGCAGACACGGAGCGGCTTGAGGAATACCTCACAGAAAAACTAAAAATGTGAACTTTTTATTCACCCGTGGCTGGAGGCATGAAAAGATGCACAGCAAACATTTTATTTGCGGACGAAAATGATGATAAACGTGGGTTTAGAGGTGGCGAGCGCATGAAGAGGTGGAGGAAAATGGGGGACAAATTTGTTAAAAAGTCTCTTAAATCCACAAAACACAATATTAAATGCACTATTGTGGAACGAATACGTGACAGGATACCCCAGAACAGCCCTGCGCTACCTGTTGTCCTGGAGGGGAATTGCTTTGCTACACTCCCCAGGAGGCGGAGACGTCCGTGAGCAAAACGTTTCTCCCTCGTGGAGCTGTTGAAGTATAAATTAGCTTTAGAATGTTCCAGAGCTTGTTTAGATTTTCAATTTTCAAGTGTTCCATATAGATTTGGTTTCTAAATTGTCGCTCCCATTACATAAAAAAGAAATAATTTTGGTCACGATAATAACTTTTACATGAACTTGTATTATTATTTCATTTCAGTGTTTTAAACTGGTGGCATTGCACAAAAACATCAAACCAGTGCTAAAAATGTGTCAGCATCTTCCAACCTTTACTTTCTTGCAAGTTCTTGTTAGCAAACTTTGCCGCCTCCAGACTGAACGAACAAGTGAAAATCTTAAGTCATACATTTAAAGCATAACATATTTGAAACAAATAGAACAACAACATCATAGCTTGAACACATGGATTTAAATGGAAATAGGTGTGTTTTGTGTAACTTAATAAGCCAGCCATGCTCACCATGTGTTTCCTGTTGCAGAATTTACAGTTTTGACATCTTGCTTGTAAACCTAGGAGTGACCTTAGCATGTCACCGCATCAACGAAAGGAACTTTGTTAATAGGTTGTTTCCTGACTCAGCATCCTGAGGCTTTACGGGTCCTAACTCTGATGGCTACAGCTGGCCGTTAATCAGTCTGCTGACACTGTCTAGAAAAGTGGAGAGTAGAGTAAGAAATGGACTGAACCGTGTGTTCTTTCTGCCGACTTTCACTAGTGTGATAGAGAAGTTGTTGAAAACATTTATTAACCTCTGAAAGAGTAATGATTGTCAGTTTTCCCAATGGAAGTGTACATTCAGTAATAAATGTGTTCGTTTTCATTGCCAGGTTTAAAGTATAAGTAGTTTAAAGTCATACGTTTGTCCACTAGTAGGTTCTTGGATGTTTTTGTGTTGAAGTAAAAGTACTCAACATTTAAAGTTATTTAGTAAATTGTTCTATAACATACAGCACTAAACTATTCTCTTTGCTTTTTGTTGAAGCTGGTGGAAGTAGCCCTCCATTTGTAAAATTTTCCTATCAAAGGCTGTAAACAATAAAGACCTTTATCCAGTGGCGGGCGGTGCGTTCCACCCCTGGGCCTTCAGTGATTTCCTATTCAGTCCAATCTAATTTAATACACCTTAAAATACCATCAATAGGACATCACAGCTGGAGAAACCTCACACACACACACACACACACACACACACACACACACACACACACACACACACACACACACACACACACACACACACACACACACACACACACACACACACACACACACACCAGTGGCTGGTCAAGACACATCATTTCCAGAGTCTTTAAAATCAAACTCACATTCCCAGTTGAGAGTAGGAAACTAAGACCACGGATACTGTCAAATCTCAGAAATGAAAGACGGGTTTAAGAGATGAGACAATAAAATAAATAAGTAAAGCAAACACATTATTTGCATTTGTTTTGGAGAAAATTGTACCGCGAAACAATTGAACATGTTGGCGCAGCTGCACACACCACGTCATTCACAATATAAATTGCATAGAAACAGAACACAGAATAATTTCATTTTGCCATTTTATTTCGTTACCATTTATTGATTATTAACAAAATAAAATGACAAAACATTAAAAAAATACTAATAAAATGTTTCTACTCACCAACATAAATGTCCAGCATGGATCTCCTCCTCTCCTGCTCATTAGAAAATAAAATCCATCCTTCTTTCTTTCCTCAGGAAAACCTCATTGGCTCTGTACAGTTTATCTGTGCACTTCAGGTCCATGAGTGGATCCTTTTCTATGGACATGGAGGCTGAAAGCCGTGTCTGCCCGGTCGTGTTTCTGGCGTACGTTTTAACGCGCTTTAATGCTACCAAATCCATCTGATGCGAGCAACAGGCATTCCCAGCAGAATAACCTGCAGCAGTTCTCTGAAGCTGTTAGCCATGGGTACCGTTCATAGTTGCTTGCCTGAAAATGACGAACAAATCCTTTCCCCTGCTGGGACAAGCCAGCTAGCGTTGGAGTCAGACGACCTGTTCTCACAAGATCCATTTTTTCTTGAAAGGTCCGTCTTGAAAGTGGTGTGGCAAGTAAATCTGCAACCAAGTCTGTCTCTTCTCCTCTTTCAGCCATCATGTGTTCAAAAATACACCGATAGCTGCCTATAGATACAAATCTCTGTGTTTAGTTTTGATATTTTGCTTCGTGCCGCTAGAAAAGTTCTAACTACTGCTCATCCAATCACAGGATGCGTTCATGTCAACTTTTGCGTGAGGCCAGCTAGCTGGCCCGGGCCAAGCTGACTCGTGAGCTGATTGGCTATCGCAACTAGATCGTCTCTGTTCACTTACAGCGGACAGCGGGCTTCTCGATTGATTCTGAAGGCCTAGAGCAGACTTAATCTGCCTGAAAACACAAGCTAGCTTAAATCTGATTGGATAACACCCAGCCTTGGTATTTTAACACTGGAAGCAGCACAGCCAAGTGGGTATAATAGGATATAAAGAAAATAGACCAGTAAACATTTTTTTTATTTAAAAATAATTACCAAAGGGAAAAAAATACATTTATGCTTTTGAGTATGTTTAGGCCAGCAGAGAAGGCTTTGCTGGCCCTGACTGCCCACCACTGCCTTTATCATACTGTTTTACACCATCCAGGGCAAAGATAGGCTCATCCTATGATAACATACTACGTGTGGCACTGTTGAGATGTCTTTTTTAATAAAATATAACTTATTTTTGTAAGCCATTCCTTCAAATAGGAAACAAAACTCTTGAGATAGATGAAACCCCACTTCCCCCATGTGATTTTCACAATAGTCCACAGCTGCAGACCCAAAGAATGCAGATTCACGTCGTCATGTCCCACTCATGTTTTAACAAACATTCTGGCTTGGTTTTTGAGAGCACCACCTGAAGACAAAATCCAGTAATTTCTGCAGATTAATCTCTTGTTCAGGAAGTCCAGACAAGGATCATGTTCTCTTGTAGACAAAAATCCTTCTTCGGGTTCTAGGCATTATTTAAAGTGCAGACTACTTAAAGGGACTATATGGAAGTTTGACAGCCAAAACATGTATAGAAATAATAAATTTCTTCTTCAATCATTCTCCTGCAATGCCCTGGTCCTGTAGAATGAGCCCTGGCATTTTTACTGTGATTGCCTGTTTTTCTGTAAAATCACAGAACAAGAGAGATGCTCGGGTCGAGCAGGCTGCTTCATGCGTGTTCACGCTCAGGCATAGCCCGTAGCATTTACCATCCGTAGCTTTAGCAGCAGAGAGAGAGGCAGTGCCAACTCAGCAACTTTGTCGCTGTTCCTAATGCCTAGTGACAACCCTAGCTACATTTCTGAGGACCCTTAGCTACTTTCTGTAGAACTTTCTTCTAGATATTTCCTGCAAATAAGCAACAAAATAGCCATTTTTGCTCCGAACCATTCTTTGGATTGACGTTGTTTCAGCTGTTATCAAGGACATAAATGTTACAGATACATTTAATGTTACTGTTGCTTGAGCTCACCTAGTAAGGTGTCTGATGCCCATGCTGGGGACCTGGGTTCGACTCCAATTGTGAACATAATTTGTCATTTTGAGTTTCTTTTTACATTAATTATATATTTTTTACAGAGGCCCAAATTTTTATTTGAGACTCGCCGAAAGACGTTGAATTCACAGATAAAAAAGATGTGGGTTCAACTTTCATTTTGGAACAATTTTTCAAGCAAGGGAAGGGAATGATCTGAGCATGCAGGGAGTCTGACCCATGATAAACCTTTGTCAGCTGTGCTGAAGAGAAAGGTACAGAACCAACTTATTTATTTAATTAGCTGCCCATTCTCCTGTCCTCTGGGCCACACACACACACGCACACACACACACACACACACACACACACACACACACACACACACACACACACACACACACACACACACACACACACACACACACACTGCACGTTCGGCCGGCCGACGGGAAAGTGCAGCTGCAGAGACAGAGGCACATTGTTTTTTTTTAATTTGCTGTGTTCTTCTGTCCTCTGGGCCACACACACACACGGGACTGTCTCAGCTGTTATTTTCGTTATGGAGTGTGCACATACAGCGTGCACACCTCATGCACGAGCTTACTTTTGAAGCTGCAGTCACGCGTTAGGCCTGAGTGGCGATCGCGAGCATAAAAACGTCAAACTTCCTTACTGTCCCTTTAAGAAAGAAATCACTTATTCAACTGTTGAGATTGAACTCCCTGCTAGCTACACAAAGAGACTGGGTGCTAGTGTTTACTGTTCAGGGGAGGAGGGATCCAAACTCGAGAGATTACGTAGATGGAGAGTAGCAGGTCGTTGTGACGCATCAACAACTCATCCAGCTGAATGCAATAGCTTAGCAAAAATTTACAGAACTAAAGGAAAGAAGCGGCTGAGACAGGAAAATGCATGCAATCAGCCAAAAAATGCTTTGGAGAAATAACAATAAAACAGAATTAAAAGCTCCAAAAAGTGGATTTTTGCATTATATAAGACCTTTACACACCTATATGTGTTTCTAGAAGTCAATTTAATGTTGGATTTGTGATGCTTCAGATAATTGATGGAAATACTAGTAAAAAAAAATCTAAGACCTAAAGCGTCACACTTTTTTCTGATACCAGTAATAAGTCCCCTTATCACTGACTGATATTCTACACAGATTCTTTAATAAGCAATCTACCAGATTTGGAAGCAACAGCTGAAGTCACTAAATATCTTCATAGTAAAAACAGTGTTGTTCTTTTCTTTCTGATTGCTGATCAGCAAATGCGATGCCAACTCATTTATCTTCTGTAACTGACCAATCATTTTATATGTGTGCATCAATGAATCAGACTGTTGAGATAAATGTTGCTCCATCATTGCTTTGGTCTGCAGATCAGCGGTGGTTCTAAACATCCTTCTCACGCTTCCAAATGCTGTTAGTTTATCTTTGTATCAATATTCCGAATTACAAATGCAGAACATACATGAAAAAGTGAATAAGGGTGATACCTGCATTATGATAAAAATGAGGTCACACTAGAAACAATCTGACTATCAGCGTGTGTTTGGAGTTCATGAGGCATATAGACCATTGACACACACGATTGACTCCAACAGGTATTTGTAACATTTAGAGCTAAAAATATATGCTAGCATAGGATAACATACTTGTAGTTTAAACCACACATCAGACTAAGGTAGACTGCTGTCCCTTTGACCCCAGGGTTTTCCACCAGTGATAAAATAACATTTAGTGGGGCGAGAGGATACAGACTGAAGTCTTATATGTCACAGTTGGACTAAGAGCTTGCAAAGACGAGCTCTTAGTGTGTAGGCCAAGGCCATATTTACCTTCCCTAAGGCCAAGACAAGCTAAATGTTTAAAGTGGAGTAATGAGTTCCTGTCATGAGGCCGGACGCGGCCTCAGGAGGCTGTAGGCCAACCGTGACGGTTTGGGGAGGGTGTTCGAGAAAGTAAGAGGGGCAAAATACACAAGGGGCTCTGTGCACCAGTTGTACATGAGCCTTGTGTTTATTTATTTATTTAGTTGTCTATTTATTTAGTTTTATTTCCCTGTTGATTAAAGTTACCCTGGTGGAGGCATTTAGCTTCCATTTGCCTGGAATGAACCATCTTTTGTCTGATTAAAGCGAAAAATGTAGCTGCTTTGCCATTCTCTCGATGGCTGATCTGGATCTTTTCTGTACTTTTAAGTCCAGCAAGGTTAGTGGAGGTTTGCATTATTATTTTTTGTCTGTGTGTTTTGTCTTTGTTACAGGTTGCAGCAGTGTACAAGGACCCTAGCGTAGGAAACCTCATCAACATCATGATCGTGAAGCTAGTCATCATTCACGATGAACAGGTGAGTTTTGGGTCCGGAATGCTCCGTGTAAGCAGGTCTTCAGCGAGACTGACGTCATTGCAGGTGTTTCTGCGTCAGCCTTTTGTGTGTGGGGCCTGTTCGAAATTACACTGCATTTCTTGTCAGTCTCGAGTCTCATGAGGGTTCTCCTTCAAGAACAAATGGTACTGTTGTGCAGCACCTGCAGCGGTTGCTGCAAGGATGCAATGTTGTTATTTTAGTAAACTGAAATACTTTCACAGTAAAAATAATTTTTTGCTTTCTTAATGAAAATTTTTGGTTTTTTGCAACATCTCAGACTACAGACAAAAGGGTAACTTTCATGAAAGCATATTACAAAACAAGAGTTGCAAGAGAAGTATTTACTAAAAAATACATGGCAACACAACTGAGATTGTACTAATGTATCTGAATGAGCCAACCACAAGATCAATAGGTGTATTTTCATTATCGGAACTTCGGGGTTATTTTACCTGAACTTCCTTGAATGCACATGTCTCCACTTCACCGGGCCGGCTGAACGGGCTGTTTTCTGAGCCATTTAGGAACCAATGGAATACCTGAACAAGTACTCGGAAAGGTCCGGTGGAGTTGCTGAGCAGAACTTTTTGTTAACTCATGCTGATTGGTTGTAACTCTATAGGAAATTACATCAGCAGACATTGTCCATAACCAGCATTAGTAAAATTAGAAGATTCGCTTGTGAAGCAGAATGGAAGCACAAGCAAATAATCACCATTCACATTGCCTTAAAGTCCTCGTTATTAAACTCCCAACACTGAAAACACAGAGGAATTCCACCTGCAATGACGTCATTCATGGGACTTTGTTGCCTCAAAAAAATGGTGCTTTTGTGGTCATTGAACACCACATTTTACATTACACAGCCACTCTCCTGGTCCTCTGAATGGAATAAATGTATGTTTTTAGGCAAATGAACTGTGCAAAATATTACAACCTGGTAAAAGCATTTTATAATATCCTGATATGTAATGTGTTGAAATGGAAATAAGGTATTAACCACAACAATGTTTCTGGCTTTAATTTGTGATATTTTCTAAATCTGCCCACAATAGTTTTATGCTGCTCAAAGAAAGATATCATGTTTTTTCATCAAAAGGATCAACTCCAAATCTAAGTCACCTACATTGTCACTAAATCAAGGTGTGCAATGTTGAGATGACTGCAATTAATTATACTCCAAAATAATAATAATTTGCATGTTTTCTGAACTTGTTCAGCCCTGAGAACCAGTAAAGTACGCAACGCCTACTTGTAGGATATTGCTGTATCAGTTGACCAACATTCAACCCAATAGGAAGGACCAACTGTCAACTTCAATGCCGCCACCACCCTGTACAACTTCTGTGTCTGGCAGCAGAGCCAAAATATGGAGGATGACAGCCACCCTCTTCACCATGACACCGCCTTACTCATCACCAGGTACTTATCCCGCTTTGAATCAAAACCCAGCTTGTACAAGCAGATATGTAATGGTTTGTCTTTTCTTTTTTTCCTCTATTCCTCAGAGAAGACATTTGTGGTGCAAAGGATAAATGTGACACTTTAGGTAAACCCTTTCCTTCTTCTTAGCAAAAATACTTCCACTGTCAACGAAGTTTCCACTCCACTGGCCCCAGCTCATAAACTGCTCTGTAACGAGTTTATGCCAAGCTGTCAGCTGATAATATTAGATCCAATAAAGTGGTCTTTAATGGTAGTAGGGGGAGAAAAGTATGGCTGTGGTAATTTCTTCAAAATGAACTAAACTTTTTGATAGTTTGTGTTGTTAATAGCTCCATATTACTGTTCACACGGTTGTAGGTCTTGCAGAGCTTGGCACCATGTGTGACCCGTTCCGCAGCTGCTCCATCAGTGAAGAAAATGGAATCAGTGCTTCCTTCACAATCGCTCACGAGCTGGGCCATGTGTAAGTCGCGGCCCAGAGCCTACAGCAAATACTTTCACCCCCAAACACACACACACACACACACGCACGCACGCACGCACGTACGCACGCACACACACACACACACACACACACACACACGCACGCACGCACGCACGCACGCACACACACACACACACACACACACACACACACACACACACACACACCTCACAGCCTGCCTTGCCAACAAAAGCCCTGTTTATAAAGAGATGCAGGGTGCAGCAGCCACAGGTGCAAAACATAATAAAGTCAAAAACTTGACTTTAATAACCTGCAAGCCGATAATACCTGACTACACTGCTCAGGAGTCAGCCATGTGAAGTTGAGCTCAAGCTTAGGTGGAATTAAGTACTAATAGAGTGGAAAAATAATTTAATATAGATCTCTGTTTTCTCTTTTTTTTTAGTAATTTTTATTATTTTGGGTAAAATGAGCAATTTCAACAAATGTAAGCAAACAAATGAAAACATTGATCTTTTGCAGACAGTACAAGGCAAAATGTTGTAGTATTTGGCTGTTCAATCATCACACAATGGTTTTCCTCCATCTAAAAAAGCAGGATAAAACTGTCAGGACTGCGGCTGAGAGGAGGCAAGACTGAGGGCAGGGAGTTGGGCTGTAACGTATGTTACGACCCAAACGCAGAGAGACTAGCGTCTCTTACGAACCTCGTAGGGAAATGAGATTGTACTAGCTTTTCAGAGGAAAGCCGGGTGTACTCTGTATGACTTTTTTCACCTTTTTGAGCTGATTTTCCCCTTGTGTGAGAATCTACAAGATCGGGGGGAGTTTTGTGCTGAGCGTTGTGTAGCATATGATATTTTGCTTGTCCCTCATGAGGGTATCGCACTGTTGAAGCGGCGCTGCGATCAGCTGCTAACCAAAAAGTACGAGAATCGCACACGGTGCATGTGTAAACAAGCGTCAACACGGCTAGCCAGCTATTTCCTCTTTCTGAAGTATTTCCGCTTTTCAATGGCACCATCTAGTGGCTGACACGCATATCACACAAACGGTCTCTGGAGCCATTTTTTTAAGATGGCGACTTCACGTTTTCTGTTTATAAATGTGCTTCTGTAGACGACAAACAGAGCTAAAACACATTGTTTTACAAGGATTATTCTCATGTCATGTTGTGTTTTCATATATTTATATTTTATATACTTACTTGTCCGTGAAAAGTTCATGAACTGTGCATCGGCCGAGGTATTCCTTAAATTTGATGCAGGTAAGCGGTAGTCTAACGCTATTGTTTAGTTCTGGTTGGCGGAGCTCTGCGGGGCAGGGGGCGTGCTTAGAAAAAGAAAAAGAAGACGTATTTCTACGCAACAGTACATGATAAGATAATCACTTTTACAAATTTATGAAAAATCATACGTAATATCTGAAAGGGGTAAACTCCAGAAAGCTACTTTAACACATGTCGTTCATTTTTTTTCATACACTTATTTTTCACACACAATATCAAGGATTGTCAAGAAAGCATATTTATGTCAAATTAAACTGATAAAACATTGATTTACTTTCTTTCTTTTCGCCTTCCTGACTCGTGACTCGTAACTCGTGAGATTTGCTCTGCCTGGAAGTCGTACAGTTTCAGCTGAAGCTGAACACTTCGGATGAGACAGTCACACAATGTCCACCTGGCTTAATGAAAAATGACTTACTGAGTGTTGGCAGAGTTGATGGATGGCTCGGGAACTCGTGGCTTGATTTCAAAGGAATGATGACTGAGTGACGGCGGATGTGGGATATAGCCGTGGGAGGTCCGGTTCAGGGGATCTTGGGAAGTGGAGTTCTAGGGAGTGGTTATGCGGCCAGAAGAGCGCCAATGGCTGGAGGATGTGACAAAAACAACCTGATGATTTCACGGTGCCATCATGTGCAAGTCATATCACAGAGTATTACTCAGTTATCTTGTCTGGCAGCAATGATGCATTCACAACAACGAAACACTGACCCATGTTGCCAGTGAGAAAAAGACCTGCATGTGTTATCAGTCTCAAAATGACCAAGTCAAAACAAGTTGCTTTAGTATGTCTTTTGTAGTGTTTTTTAGTCCAAACATCCCTCAGAGGGAAAATCTCACACGTCTCTGGTTTAATTTGACTTCAACACAGAGCAATGTGAGAGAAGAAAGTCTGATAGAATCACAGAATGATGTTTTTCTCTCTGTTTCATCTCATTCATTGATTTTGGAGCGAGTGAAAAGTGTAGGTGTTTTCCCCAATGCCAGTTTGCATCAGTGAGCCACTGTTGAGAAGGAAAGATATTCTTCTCCCTCTTCTATCTCACTCACACATTCTTCCAGTGGAGAGCTCAGACCAGAACAGCAGCAGATGGACGGGCCTTGTGCCCTCCCCTCATGTCTCATGTGGATCTGTTTATGCTAAAGTTCAAGCAGCTGGAGGCCCAGTAGGCGCAGACTCCCAGCTCGGTCCATTGCTGCACATGCGGGCGTCAGCCCTCCACAGTGTTTGACGCGCTGGGAAAGCCAGTGTGAGGTTGTGCATGGGAGCCACTTGAGAGCGTTGCAGATTAAAGCTAGATTTAAAGACTAATGGGTGGGAGGCCTTTCTCAGATGACTGCAAGGATGTGTGACCACTAACAGCCGTTATGGGGATTTTTACTGGTGCGATTCTGTCATTTGATAACTGTTCAACAGTGATGAGGATAAGGCAGTTTACTAAACATCAGACTTTTCTAAAATTTGCACTGGATCCAAAAATCAAGGCTTAGAGATGGAAGAACTTAGAAGTTGAAAACATTAATAACAGAAACAAAACAAAGCTGACAAGGCAGCAGACTAAACACAAGATCCTGCAATAGGACTCAGAGACACAGAAATAGCATGCAAAGCAAGATTGCATGAGTATGAGATACCACTGCTGAGCTGATTACCTGATCCATCTATCCATGAGTCGCGGAGGCAGCAGCCTAACCCGAGAGGGCCAGACTTCCCTCTTCCCAGCCACTTGGGCCAGCTCCTCCAGATTAATCCTAAGACGTTCCTGGCCAGAGAAGAGACACAGTCCCTCCATCGTGTCCTGGGTCTTCCTTTAGGTTTCCTTCCAGTTGGACGTGCCCAGAAAACCTCACCAGGGAGGCGTCCAGGAGGCATCTTAACCAAATGCTCGAACCACCTCAACTGGATCCTCTTGATGTGGAAGAGCAGCCGGTCTACTCCGAGCCCCTCCCAGATAACCGAACTTCCCGCCCTATCTCTAAGGGAGAGCCCAGACACCCTGCGGAGAAAACTCATTTCAGCCTCTTGTTTACCGCAACCTCGTTCTTTCAGTCAAACCCAAAGCTCATGACCACAGAGGGTTGGAACATAGATTGACCGGAATATCGAGAGCTCTGTCTTCTGGCTCAGCTCTCTTCACCATGGCAGACTGGTACAATCCCCGGCACTGCAGACACAGCACCAGCCCGCCTATCGATCTCCCGCTTCATCTTTCCCTCACTGAATAAGACCCGGAGATACTTAAACTCCTCCACTTGGGACAAAACATCGTCTCTGACCCATAAGACATTCCACCCTCTTCCAACTTCAGATCACGGTTTCAGATTTAAACACAAAGATGAACACAGAACAAAGCAAAACAACTATGATAACATAACACATCAAGACATGCATTACATTAAACATTACAAGCCTTACTTAGCAATGATTGTGTAGAAGAAATCCTGTAAATTTCAATTAATTTCTCATAATGTGTGAAGAAATGATGCCTGTGCTCATTTATTGATTAAATTTAGAGGGTTTTTTTTGTTTGTTTTTTTGTTGTGTACTGTTTTTCCTCCATTTCCCCCTCCCTCTCTTTCCCTGGTTGTGTTGTATGCCTCTTTTCTCCCTGCCTGTCCACTCTGGTGCGTAAGCAAATGCCATCTAATGTGCTACAAACATAATTAAAGCTACTGCACAACAGGAGGAATACCCCACATCCCTCTAGCTGTACACTTGAACCCAGATGAACCATTGTCTGCTTCTTTTACCAGGACAGGTTAAAAAAGAGAAAAGATTTTGTCTCTTGTTGATAATCTAATAAACACCAAGATTGACTGAGTAATAAACAACAAGCGATGCATTTATTTTCCTGAGAGGCCCATTAAGAGCTCTGAGTAAATGAATGCAGACTTCTAAATTATGACACCGTAAGTGCCGTAAATAATCTACTTTTTATTGACTTAGCCATAAAACTGCCTGATTTATATATTAATTTTGCTGAAAGCTTCTTGTGAGAAGATTTGTAGCTGGTTTATTTATTTATCTTTCAGATAATTTAGTATAACACGTTTAAACACATTCATCACTAAGGACTTAGTTAAATTAGCTTTTGTTGTTTTTCTGTTAATTATGATCATCTGCATCACCCAGGTTGGCCAGTATAGCTTGCAGATGCTGATCGACTTGGATCAGTGTTATTAGTGTTCTCAGAGAGGCTGGTTCATGTGTGCAAGCCTAACTGTGCCAGAGGCTCAATTATTTCTTGGGTGTTTGCCCTCAGACCTCAGCCCCTGCAGGGTGGGCCTCATGCCAGCCGTGCTAGATCTTGTTTGCGTGGCGGTACGGACTGACCCTCGGCTACAGCTCAGGAGTCTACCTCTGGCCCACATCCTGTTATAAACATCTCAGACATCATACAGCTGGATGGGTTCCTGTGTGTATATAAATATACGTGTGCTCATCTGGTGCACGCTTTTTATGGGTTGTGCTCCGAACTGCTGGACAAAACAGGACATTTATTGAGGGCAAAAACAAGAAAAGTCTCCAAGTACAGACAGCATGAACAAATCAGTTTAATTGAATTGCTTAGTTTTCTGGTAATTACTATCAGCAATTGGTTGGTTGGCCAATATTTGGAACTTTAAACTGTGCAATGAATGTCACCTCTGCAGCTATTTGTTATTCCAACTATGGGGCGACGGCGGCACAGGAGTTAAGTACTCGCCCCGCAATCGGAAGGTTGCAGGTTCGAGCCCCGCTCAGTCTGTCGCTGTCGTTGTGTCCTTGGGCAAGACACTTAACCCACGTTGCCTGCTGGTGGTGGTCGGAGGGATCGGTGGCGCCTGTGCTCGGCAGCCTCGCCTCTGTCAGTGCGCCCCAGGGCAGCTGTGGCTACATCGTAGCTCATCCCCACCAGTGTGTGAATGTGTGTGTGAATGGGTGAATGACTGATTGTGTTGTAAAGCGCCTTGGGGGGTTTCAGGACTCTAGCAGGCGCTATATCAAATACAGGCCATTTACCATTTATGATACTTTAATGTTTTTGCAGTGGGGCATAGACATGTATGCTGATGTTTGATTATTACCGCCCTCTTACTGCTCCTCTCTGTATTAAGCCCCTAGAGAATGTGAGTTAGTGAGCTTTGGCCTGCAAGCGGTGAGCTGGAGGTGGTCCTATGTAACCAGCATGCAGATTGTAATAGATGTTGATAGATAAATAGTGACAGTTTATATAACCCCCCCCCCCCCCCCCCCTCCCCCACGCCACTGGTCAACTGTAGATTCAGTAGGTCTTTTCTCTTCATCGAAAGTAAAAAGTCTCACAAATTTATTCCAAGAGGAAAAAGTGAAGAGGTGTTTGGTTTTGGGTAGTGTGTGAAAACAAAGACATTTAGGTAGTCTGTGCTGCAGGATCCAAGGTTGTGTCTGCAGTTGCTACTTTGCATGGCGTCCCACTGGTAAGGTGCTGAGTGATGTCCTCTTAAAAAGGGATAAAATTACATCCTGGGACATTCATCTACTTACTCCTTCACAGCTGTTAAGTTGCTGATAATAACGCTGTGGTTTTAACTCCACGTTTGTTATTCCTGTTTGCACCAGGTTCAACATGCCCCATGATGACAACCCAAAGTGCCGTGAGGCAGGAATGAAGCACCAGTATCACGTCATGGCCCCTACCCTCAACTACGACACCAATCCCTGGTCGTGGTCCAAGTGCAGCCGCAAGTACATCACAGAGTTTCTAGAGTACGTACATCCAGCTCTTTTCATCTGATTTATATTTAGAACAGATTGGTTCTTCTCATGGAGTGTGAGTGTTTCTTGTGATGCACTGTAAAAAAGGTGTTTCTGTTGCTGAACTCTAGAAGCAGGTTGGTGCAATGTAAACCTTGTGAAGTTGTTATTGCCTGGTGTTGAGAGAGTATTTCCTGTTTGGGGGCTGCCTCAGTTGAACCGAGCATCAAATCTGCTGCAGTCCTTCGACTGTCTCCTCCCTCTAGTCTCATCTACACAGCAAACCCAATAACGGCTCGGTTCAGTTACTCCTACCCCACATCTCGGCCAGTGATCCAGATGAAGGACTTTCCTATAAAATGGGAAATGCCAGTTATAATTAGTGCTTCCCTTGGCATGTCCTTTTAATCTTTCCCTCCTTTCCACTGTTAATTGTTGAGGGCCTTACAAAGAAAGGCCCTGTTCATGTTGACCAGATGCGTCTTGAGAGTGCAGCATAAGGCGATGCCTCACTTGGAGCTTTAGGGTTGCACTTTGCATACTTTCCATTCAGTGATGACCTCAACTTTGGGCTGAGAATGCCTGTCAGTTTTTTAGGGGCTTGTACAAAACAGTTATGTTGAGCTACACCAATTTCTAAAGGGGTTTTGGCAAAACTGCAGTATGGGACACACAGTAGGAATACAGTTAAAGGTGGTGTGGTTACTGCTTTGGTGGGAAAAGCTCTTGAGAGTGTGTTCCAAGTGCTTTTGAAGTTTGAAGCCAACAATGAGGAGCATTGATTCAAGCAAACCTTTCTGCAGCACCACCCCTGTTCCGCGGACTGATCTGGTCAAGTACATCAATGTTTAGACTGTCTGTTGTCCCTGAAGAGCTAATTCAACCTCTTCTTCATCACTAGTGTAAAAACATAAAAGACTGTTCCGCCACTTGAGGGTTTCGTCTGAAAAGGGAAAGGGTTCTTATTTCACCATTCCTGTACTAAAATGCACCAGAAAGTTGGTGAAAGTGTTGCGTTGTAGTAGCAGCATTACCTTGTATCAAAATTACTTAATTAAACTGTTTGTTTCTTCAAATATTTCAAATATGAAAACAAAGTCCAAATATCAGCTTTTGTCTTACTGTAATGTGTGGAAATCAATTAATATAGTGACTAATTTTAACAGGCAGTTCTTGCATTTTAAATAAACCACAAAATAAACGGGAACAAAAACTTGTAGCTGAAGCCAAATGTGTCCATATCCTCTAAACTTTTCATAGCTGATAATGAACTTCTGTAAAACTGCTTATAACATTTTGAAAGCAAAAAAATAAATAAATAAAAACTTTTAAGTGTCTTTCTCTTTTCAGCCTTTGGGCCTCTGTTTCAGGGGCTCATCATGCTTGTGCTCAGTTGAAAGTAAAAAAACAAATAAAATCTTTACTAAGTAAATACGACCCCTTTATCATTTTCTAGCTAGAAGTAATTTGATACTTTAAAACTACTGCTTGGATGAAGAGATACTCAGCTGTTGGTTTAGTGATGTGAAGATAAACAGCTGTTAGTAACATTTAAATTATAGTAATAATGAAATAATGGGGTTGTCTAAAACTATTGGTGATTAATGGTCAACAGTATTGAATGCTAATCCGAAAATTGTTACAGTTTCCTCCTTTTGGTTTTCACTCTTGTTTTTGAGGTTCATGTTCCGCCTGTGATCTGGTCACATGTGTTTGATTAGCTCCTGGCTGACAGCTCTTGAACAGCTTCACTATAGGATGACAAACACCACCTCCCTGGTTCATCAACTCCCGGTTCAGGAATGGGATGTAATTCCACAGCAAAATGTTACTAGGATGTTGTCCAACATGAGGAGGAGGTAGGCTCTTGTGGCTGTGTATGGTTCTTCCACATGTTACTGAGGCCACAGACAGCGTAAAATAAAATGTCGCCCAACATCCAATACGTCTTTTTCTTATTACGGTGAGAAAGTGCAATCATCTGATCCCTTAAGTAACTCTGAACTAGAAAGAACATCACAGGAGAACACTAAAGGAGACTTTTAGATAGTTTCCCACATGTGTTGGTCATTACTCTGACTTTTAATTCTTACAAATGATCCCTCATCAAATTCAAATTCAAAGATACTTTTTTAATCCCAAAGGGAAATTAGAGTTTCAGTACACGCAATTCAGAGATCAGACATACATAGGCAAAGACACATGACAACAATTGGTGACTGTGGTCATTCGCAACCCTGAGTCGCGCTACCTTAGTAGAGATCAGAGGGTTACATGAGGATTGGTTCAGGTGGAGGTGAGTAATCAAGTTTTCCAATGATAAATTGATGTATTACCAAGAGGCAATGGAACGACAATAAAATGACCAACCAAACACTAATATTATTTCATTTATGCATTTACCCACATGAATGCCAACACAGATTAGATCATTCAAGACATCTTTGTAAAAGCTTACTGAAACGTGTTTTCAGTATGAATGGATTATACCTACACTGTCTTGTATAGTAGCCGTTTGTCTAATCATTGCCTCGCCATATAATTATTGTGCTTAATTCTTGCTGATCTTTTATTCATCTATTACTTATTGTTGTTTTTGCACTAGCAATGTATTATTGTCATGATTCCTCACACATATGGTAATAAAACCCATCTGATTCTGATTCAACTAAATGTTCATTTTATTTATAAAGCCCCTTCCCACCCCCAGTCAAGGGGGCCCAAGGTGCTGGACAGAGTGCAAAGAAGCAGCACAATAAAACAGCTGTATAATAAAATACAGAGAAACATGTAAAAACAAAAAAGAGAGATACAATTGTGATCAAAACATTCAAATGTGAATAGAAACAACTAAGAAACAGATCTAAAATACAGCTTAAGCCTTGCTTTACAAGTGGGCAACTATGTGGACTGTTTGATTTCTTTTGGGAGTTGGTTCCAAAGCCGATGACCCAGAACTGCAAAATGTGTCATGATTTGCTTCTGATGCCATGCATAGATGTACGAATGATGTAAGGGTTAGGGTTAGGTGCATCAGTCAGCTGCATGTGTTGTTAGTAGAAATAGTTTTTGTTTAGCTTCACGTGACCGGGACACTACGACACACTCAGAGCCTATTTGTAAGTGATCTTTAATTCAGGTCACCAAATGGTTGCCCGGTGTGGGAATTAAACTGTCACCAGAGAGGTACATCATGGAAAAAAATAGTTTAATTAAAAAAAAAACTATTACAGTGACCCTTTCTCTCTGTGTGTGGTTCTAGGTTGGTAGTAATAATAATTTCATTAAGGTCCAGGACTCTACTGGAGAGATAACCAGCTGTTGAAAGACAGTCCTTTATGAAAATGTGTTTCTGTGACATGCTGCACCTTGGCATTCGTTTCCAGCATCCTTGCTGCTGCTGTGTTCTGCTTGTGCAATCACGCCCCTGCGGGCAGGCTGTGTGTGCTGCAGCTTCTGACAGCGCCGCTGCTGGAAATGAAAGGGCAAAGAAACAAAGTGATTGTAACCCAGGATAATCCTGTGTAATTATTGGCCTGTCACCTCAGCTGGTGCTTTGTGAAGCAGGTGTTTTAGCGGCTCAATCCAGGATGAAATTTGTCAGAGCGGTGCAGACATGTTGTGTAATTACACATCTATACGGGTATCACCTGAAAGTTTCCTTTTTCAAAAGTAAACGATAAAAACAGAGGGATTCTTTTGGGTTTGCCCCACTCTGTCACATGTGTCACTGGTGGTTCTTCTCAGCAGAAAAGGTTGATGGTTTATATTCAAGCCGCTTGTGCATGTGTGTGTGTGTGTGTGTGTGTGTGTGTGTGTGTGTGTGTGTGTGTGTGTGTGTGTGTGTGTGTGTGTGTGTGTGTGTGTGTGTGTTCAGTCCAGCTGCGCTTTTGTTATTTCTGTGAAACGCATCAAGCCTCAATGGTGTGGCTGACAAAAAGCAATCTTATCATTAGACTGTTACTTATGAGATGTTTATGAATAAGTTGAAATACCCAGTTTATCAGTATTTACCAAAATTAAGAAACCTAAACAAGTAATTGTCTTTGAGTCCCAAATCAGACTTGAGTTTATTAATTATGTAAGCCTTGGAAAAGGAAGTGCCTTTCCCAGAGGAGAAAACCCACCTGAGGTTGATCCCAGACAATGACACAGACATGTTTATTTTGTCTTTTTAAAAAAGATGACAAGTTTGTGCTTTTGTGGTCATAAATTACTGGAGTATCTCAAAAGTTGAATGTCTATTTTGTGTAAGGCTTTGTGCTGTGCTTACTTTTTTGTTTACCATACAGTCACTCTTCCTTTTCTTTAATTCAGCACTGGATACGGGGAGTGTCTCCTTGATGAGCCTGCAGGAAGAACATATGAGCTTCCCACACTCCTCCCTGGTCAGATCTACAACGCCAACAGGCAGTGTGAGCTGATGTTTGGTCCTGGGTCTCAGATTTGTCCCTACATGGTGAGTTGGCATCCCTAGACAAAGCAACACCACTTTAAATAGAAGTGGAGATGATTTTATTTGGATAAAACTCTCAGATACTTAATGCGGAGCCTTTTGCCAACTTCCACACCATGCATTTAAGTATCTATGTATTGTAAAGTATACTAAATAATATTAAAATTATATTTGCCTTTGTAAATTTTATTTCTAAATGGTAAGAACAAAAAAAAGTGAATTTGTATGCCACTTATTTATTTATTCTAATCTATTCCTGCACTTTGTGACTGTAAAATATGTAAAATAAATGGTGATATATGGCTAATAACAAAAAAAAAAACAATATGTTGTATTGATATTTTGCTGCTGGTCCCTGTTTTAACTGTAGAAACAATGCAAAAGATTGTGGTGCACGAGTGCAGAAGGGGACCATAAAGGCTGTCGCACCCAGCACATGCCCCTGGCTGATGGGACTGACTGTGGTCACGGGATGGTAAGTCAGCCCGTGTGCTTATGATGTCTCATTAGGCATGTGAAAGAGCTGCAATCAGCATTGCAAAGTTTTGTTTGCACTTGATGATAAAAACGGGTGGGTTAGATAGTTGTCCTTTACTATTCACCTAAATTGACTAAATGAATCAATATTTTAGTTCAGCATATTATTTTAAACCTGACAGCAGATTGAATTTAAATATTTTATATCATTTGGGAATTGAAGAACGTGTATTTTTTAAACCATTATCTATTAAAAATGACCACACTCCATTTAAACATGCACAGTGACACAGTCCAGACCTCCTAGTGCTGTTTTGAGTTCTGATTATCTTCCTGCTCATTCACGTCTTTCACCAGCAAAAAGAAAATGTTCACCCTTCGCTGCTCTGCCGCCTGTGTTCTGTTTACAGAAACCCATGTAAAAGAAGTCAGGTGATACCTCTGGTTAGGAACTTAAAGCTTACCCTTGGTGCTGTTACGGGCCCCCCACCACCGATTAGCCTTCGTGTTCTCCTCGCTCTGGGACTCTATGCTAATCAGAGCTGAGACGGCGGGTCGGTCTCTGAGGATACATGGACAACAATGGAGGCTGGCTGTGGGAGACTTAAAGGAAGGGGAAAAAGGAATGAAATAGAGGTAGAGGGTGAGAAAAGGGGGGAAAGAGGGATCTGAGAGGGAGAGGTGAAGAAATGGACCCTTTTAAAAAGGGTGCCACCTGCTGTTCACAGTTGAGTCACCTTGTTTTGAACCCGTGACCTTAAAACCTCCTTAAAAGGCAGGTGAGTGGGTCAGTGGTCAGGCTGCATCAGAGCCCAGACTGAGGAAATCTAGCTCTCTCTCTGTTTCTCCCTCACACACACACACACACACACACACACACACACACACGCACGCACACACACACACACACGCACGCACGCACGCACGCACGCACGCGCGCGCGCACACACACACAGAATAACTTTCCATTAGAGGAGGGGAGGGGGAGGGGAGGTGTTTAGCATTCGGAACATGCATGGCCGAGAGGAAAGGAAGGAGAAAGAAGGAGGGATGTCTTTTGCCCTCAGTCAGTTTTGCTGCGTGAGCTCATCTTAAGTCTCATGCCCTTTCATCTGACCCCATCGCCCTCCCGACCACATTAGTACCTGGATCTGTCCAGTCTACCAAGGAGGGGTTAACAGGGATAGCTAACATCTTAATCCAACTACAACAACCAGACTAAACAGTAATGTGCTTGGTTAGATCCTCCCATTCTGCTCTCATTCTTTAAGTGGAACAAAAACAGGGAGTTTAATCAACTTTAACTTTATTAACATACAGCCTCTTAACCCTTCTTGGTGCATTTTATTTTTTCTCTAGATCATTGTTTAGCCACTTCTACGATTATTTTCTGGTTTCACGCAAATCTTCACTAATCAACTCCAAAGTAGCATTCAAAACTCATCAAAAATCCATTTAGCTATTTATGTTAGCTCAGAGTCAAACCAGAGATTTTTGTCTTTTAATCACTTTTAATCACATGTCTTAAATGTCACACATAAAAAAAACACTACAGAACATTGTGATGTTTTCTTTTCACATCTTGTTTAGTGGATACAAAGATGTTATAGTTTAATAGCATATGCACATGATGTCTTGGATTGGTTTACACCTACTGATGGCGAAGATCACAGACCCAATGAGTGGCTTTAAAACAAGGACCCTCTGCAGCCACTATCCAGAGCTGTATCCCCACAATTTAAGTCAACTAAATAAAACCTAGCATGTAGGTATTAGTAGTTTAGATCATCTAACACTTATTTGTGCCGATTTCTGCAGTGCTTCCGATTCATTTGAAATAGCTAATGAGCTGTGGGGATGACTATGGAGAAATCTATAATTATTTCATTAGCATGCCTGCTTTACACAGCTGAAGCAATAAAGATGTACCTGGATCTCTTCTGCGTTGAGCGGATCAGTGAGGAAGGATCGCCATGACACGGTTTGTCTTGGGAGATGAACGAATGCCCCTTTTATTCTGATGAGCTTCATAAACAGAAACACAAAGAGGCAGGAGAGACCAACAAGGTATAAATGTATACAGAACTTACTGTTACACATTTGACATCCCCTTTTGTACGTTCTCTGTTTTTATTCGTATTCCATTTTTGTTCTTTTTTTACAGTTTAGTAAACAAATAGTTTTGTTTACCTGACATGTTTTAGCTAGCATCTCTAGCCATCATCAGAGACTGCCAGTGTTGGTGGCGTTACTTCCTTTTACCTGCGGGCAGCAGAGAACTGTGTTGTCCTTTACTGCCCACATCCTCTTTGTTGATGACACTGCCCCATGTGTGATCCAATGAGAACTCTCCATCGTCTCTGTTCATGGTTTTGTGCAGATAAATTTTATTTCACCGCAATTTTGCTCAGTTTATTGACAACTAGCAGATAATAACAATGGTCGTCAACAGGGATGCGCCGGTTTTGCCCCCAGCCCGAAGCTGGGGACCAAATCTT